AGTAATAAATCACAGCAATAGTACATTCACGTAGTTGTAAACAGCATGATAATATATTAAGTAATCCAAAGTATTCAGAATACGTTACTCTCATTGAGTAACGTAACAGAATACATTACATACATTTTGGGGCATGTATTCTGTAATCTGTAGTGGAATACATTTTAAAAGTAACCTTCCCAACACTGATTACTAATGATGATGTCACAGAAATAATAATTTTATGTTTTTTCTTTTTTCAAGACTGCATGAAACATCAGGCTGAACAGTCAGAGCCAGAGGAAAAATACCAAAAATGTGTTTTTTGGCAAAAGTGCTGAAACAGCATCGTTGTTTCCACCTTTACCTTGAACAGTTTTCTTGCATATTTTGCAAAGTACCGTCATTTTGTTGGAGGTTATTCAAATATCTCCCTTTTGAGATGCTTAATGTTCATCAGGGGATTAAGCAATATGGCATAAAGATGTAATGTAATTTGGCATGCCTCAGACTTTTCTTCGTGTTTCTATTTCTTGAGGACGATTTCTTTACAGACATCCTTCTACTCAGAGCATTTCTCACGAGGCTTTGGGAACCCCTGAGATATGGCTGAGGTAAGTGTTTTGCTTATAGGTCTTTGCAAATCATCTTGTTGGTGGAAAAATACAATTTTATTCCAGTCAAACTGTGTTATTTTAACCATTTGTTGCAGATTTGATTAAAGAAATGGGAACACCTCATTTGTTTGTTTGATACTGCTAGTGACAAAGTGCCTAAAGACATCATTTAAAATCGGTTCCTTGCTAAGGTGTCTGTTATGTGTAGATGCAACACTGATTCATCATTGAAGTCTGGGGCCTTTTTCATGCTTAAATGAATAACGGGTCAGTGTTACGTGGCTTAGCAAATGATACAACCCCCAAACAAACACTATGAATGGTCAGGTACAAGAACTGAACTGAAAAAGCTCTCTTTCCTCTGGGAGACAGACACTATCTCTACTTTTAAGATTAGGCTTAAAACTTTCCTTTTTGCTAAA